TAGCCAGGATGGTCTCGATCTCCTGACCTCGTGATCCGCCCGTCTTGGCCTCCCAAAGTGCTGGGATTACAGGCTTGAGCCACCATGCCCGGCCTTTAATGCTATTCTTACATCAGTGATGTCTCATTGTAGTCTTGAGATTCTCCTGATCTGGATTTGTGGCTCTTTCACCAAGAACCGGAGACTCCCATGGCTCTCTTCTTTAAATCCTGTTGCCATAATTACAAAGAAATAAACACAGTTTCCAAGGCTTTGAAATGAAGCCTGTGATATTAACTCAGTGGATTACCAGAGAGAGGGATATACCTGAAATGGGAGAGGAAACAATCTTCCCTAGACTATCTTTTCTAAGAGCTATCAAAACTATAAACAAGTAGACCAAGGAGGAGGAAGCTTGAAAGCTTTATCTTCCTGAAAATAAAGAGATGACATACAAAGTCCAAAATAGACCAAGATTGAAAAATTAGACTGCATTATACCCCTAACTCAGTTTTGTAAAAAATCACAAATGCTTGACTGTATATCTACTATATGTTCAAGTAACATATTTTAATTATCAAAATTTAAAAATCCTTCCACCACAATCTTTTGCAAGTTTTTCCATTTCTGTCTTTAACATGGTACCAGCAATAACAACTACAACCTGTTTGTGTTGAAATTCTTTCTATAGCCCAGCATCTGCTTTCTCTGAAAATTATCTTTTTAAAAATATTAAAAATAACATAATTACAATAGCAGTATATGTGCATTTTAGAAAGTTAGAAAATACAGGGGAAAAAATGGCACCACATTCCTGTCACCCAGAGATCACCACTATTTACTATTTATTTATTTATTTATTTGTTGAGACAGAGTCTCACTGTTGCCCAGACTGGAGTGCAGTGGTGCAGTCTCTGCTCACTGCAACTTTCGCCTCCCGGGTTCAAGTGATTCTCATGCCTCATCTACCAGAGTAGCTGGGATGACAGGCGCATGCCACCACACCCATTTAATTTTTGTATTTTTAGTAGAGATGTGGTTTCCCCATGTTGGCCAGGCTGGTCTGAAACTCCTGGTCTCAAGTGATCTGCCCACATCAGCCTCCCAAAGTGCTGGGATTATAGGTATGAGCCACCACACCTGGTCTACTCACTGCAACCTCCATCTCCTGAGTTCAAGCGATTCTTCTGGCTCAGCCTCCCGAGTAGCTGGTACTACAGGTGTGCGCCACCATGCCTGGCTAATTTTTGTATTTTTAGTAGAGGACAGCGTTTCCCCATATTGGCCAGGCTGATCTTGAATTCCTGACCTCATGATCTGCCCACCTTGGCCTCCGAAAGTGCTGGGATCACAGGCGTGAGCCCCTACCCCTGGTTACTTTTTCCCTAGTGATTTTTTTATGATGATGCAGCTATATATTGAAATGGAAAGGTACTCGTTTTGGGGAGTAAAATTGGTTATGAAACAAAAATAATAACAAAGTCGCTTTTGAAGACTGTATTAAAATGTTAGTGGTAGTTATATTTTTAATTTTTATGGGTACATGGTAGGTGTATATATTTATGTGGTACATGAAATGTTTTGATGCAGGCATGCAATGCGTAATCACTTCAAGGTAAATGGGGTATCTTCCCTGGCGATGTTTAACATGATTTCCAGAATGAATTGCTCACTATGTTTGGTGTGTTTTCCATTCCCAGGTGGTAGTGCCTTTTAAGGTCTATTACTTAAACATAAATATGGCTCTGGTTCTTATGGCCTTTACTGTATCCTTCATGAGAAGTTGATACTGATCGGAAATTGACACAGAGCCTTCTCACCTACACCAAGGGAGTCTAGGTAAGCAAGATTATCTTTATCCCAAATTCAGCAAGAGGTTTTCTTATTGGTGTTCAGAATGCTTGACTGAGCAGTTAGAAAACTGTTGCTACCTAGTCTCCAGTCTTATCAAGGAAACAACGGCTGCAACTCACGCCTGCAAGAACAAGAGGCTCACACAGTTTTGAAATTAGTGCAACTTCTAGCTGGATGGGAGTCTTTTTAGTTTCATTTAGCCTTGACTTGAAACTAATAGGAGTCTTAAAATGAGAAAAAGGCTCAGGCTCTAAATGTACCTTTGACATGTTAATTCTGTTACCAAAAACTGGCTTTGCTCTGTATTAACTCCAGCAGAATTGTTTTTCAGTCACTGAGGCCAGAGGTGCTTCCAGAGAAATGTTCCTGACCTACTGATACTGAATAATTATTGTTACTAGAAGCTGCAACCAAAGACTCCTGGAGGGTAGTAAGAGGTACAGAGAATGCAGGTTAGATACAGTGAGGACAGAGAAGAAATAATGGGTTGGAGGCTGGGTGTGGTCACTCACACCTATAATTCCAGCTACTCTAGAGGCTGAAGCAAGAGAATCACTTGAGTCCAGGAGTTCAAGGCTGCAGTGAGCTAGCATTGCGCCACTGCACTCCAGCTTGGATGACAGAGCAAGACTTTGTCAAAAAAAAAAAAAAAAAAAAAAGATGGGTTGCTTTGTAGTTTAGAGAACTACATGTTTAGATAGTTATTATTTCCCCAAAAGGGCCCATCAGATTGAAATTCTGAGATCCAGGGTTTGTCTGACACTCTCTAGCCTATGAGTTGTAGAGATGGGATGGCCAGGAGTGAAGTGATGGCCTTGTGTCTTTCTCCCCTGCAGCGTACAGAACGGCTGTACCTGGAAGAAGGAAGTGCGGAGCCAGCCTGAGTTGGGAGTAGAGCTCCAGAGAGTGAGTCAAAGCCCTCTGTGTCCTGCTATGAATGATGCCCTCATAGTCAGAGGAAGCCGACTTAAGTGAAATCTATTTTTGACTTGTCAAGTTTAAATATTTTCTTAATTTTTAGTACTGAACAATAGAAGGCATCTAGTGAAACAAATGCTTTCACTTTCTTGCTAGGAGGGTAAATGAGTATATTCTTGCATTAGGTACACAAGGATACAGTACAAGTATGCTAGCCTCTCTCAACTATAAACAAGTAAACAAGATTTGGTTTAAGCATCAGTCTCTTGTGAGTCCGACTGGTAAGCCCAGTGTCAGGGCACATTGACAATGTTAGTGGAGAACGAGACTCTCCCAGTGTGCTGCCCTGACCCCTCCGAGACTGGTCTGTGTAGCCATGTGGTGGTCATCCTGTACCACTTCTGGTTTGGTTCTAATCAAAGGAAGCAGTATCATCTTTGGTGATCCGTCTTATACGCTTGCATCATTTTGTACCAAAGGAGAATTTCTTTTGTTAAAAATTTATTTTTCATTATCTACTCATAAAGAAGGAACCAAAGGGCTGGGCGCAGTGGCTCATGCCTGTAATCCCAGCACTTTTAGGAGGTGAGGCAGGCAGATCACTTGAGGTCAGGAGTTCGAGACCAGCCTGCCCAACATGTTGAAACCCCATCTCTACTAAAAAACACAAAAATTTAACCAGGCGTGGTGGTGCCTGACTGTAGTCCCAGCTACTCGGGAGGCTAAGGCAGAAGAATTGCTTGAACCCAGGAGGTGGAGGTTGCAGTGAGCCAAGATCATGCCTCCAGCCTGGGTGACAGAGTGAGACTCCATCTGATATGGTTTGGCTGTGTCCACACCCAGATCTCACCTTGAATTCCCATGTGTTATGGGAGGGACCTGGTGGGAGGTAATTGAACCATGGGGCAGGTCTTACCCGTGCTGTTCTCGTGATAGTGAATAAGTCTCACGAGATCCATTGGTTTTTAAAAAGGGGAGTTTCCGTGCACAAGCTCTCTTTTGTCTGCCACCATGTGAGACGTGCCTTTTACCTTCCACCATAATTGTGAGGCCTCCTCAGCCACGTGGAACTGTTAAGTCCATTAAACCTTTTTTTTGGTAAATTGCCCAGTCTCAGGTATGTCTTTGTCAGCAGTGTGAAAATGGACTAGTACATCATCTCAAAAAAAAAAAAAAAAAAAAA